TAATCCTTTTTTTATAATTTGTAATTATATTTAAAATTTTATTTTTAAATAAATTAGAATAATATTTTAATATATATCTTCTTTTTTTTTTTTTTTAAATGATTATATTTATACTTATTTTAAATCGTTCATTTATAATAAATAATATAATTTATTTTGTATTTATCTATTATTATCTATTATTTCATTTGATGTATATATTTATTATTTAAAATTATTACAAATAACTTTGTATACATAAAATATATAAATGTATACAAATTTATATGATAAAAATAAAACATTATTAAATAGACAAATAAATTTATTACATATTTTGACAGTTATTTAAAACAATTATATTACAGTCATGTTATAATAACTGACATTACCATTCCCATATACAGACACAAGCATTCTTAATATATAATAATTATTAAAATCTGTACATTAGTCTGTATGTAGCATAAACAAAATTGACGAGATACTTTAAGTCATTTTTATAATATAAAAATTATGGAATAAAAAAAACTTAAACTAAATTCATTTCTAATAGATAAAGAATACAGAAACAATTTAATTAATATAATATGTAATTATTTTATGAAATTTATCGAAAGATCTATTGTAGACATGATATATACATATATAAAGTAACTAAAGAACAGAAATTAGTTATAAAATTTATATGTTTTGCTTCTAAGATAATTTATATAAAAAAAGACAAATTTATTATATTATTTTTTTTAAAGGATTATTTGATATATTTATGATTATTAATATTGTAATATCGACTTTAAATTTCTAGCTCTTAACAATTGTTACATTTCTTTTTTTCCAATTATTAATCGCATTTATAACCAGGCCTGTTATTAATCAAAGTACAATTATATTACACAAATTATCACATAATTTTATAAATATTTATTCTGCTGTAAGCTGAGCTGAAAATTTTTGTAATCTTCGTCTTCGTAATATTTCTTGTTCGTTTGAAGGTTCCATATCATTTCTAATTGATGATTCTGGAATTGTATCATTACTATTTGTGCCTGATAATGTATTTATATTATCATTGGAAGAATTTGCAGTAGGAACATTCATTTCAGTTTTAATTTGCAATTGTTCATTATTAATTCCAGGACTTGTAGTTTTTGACATTCCTTGTTTTACTAATGCAGAAACATCTGTTGTAACATTTGTGTTATTTGTTGCAGTTGACACTGGAATACTGTAATAAATAAATCTTAATAAGAATCTAAATAAAATGATAATATTAATTATTACTTTTCATTAAAATACTTAAAAATTCATACTTAGCAGTAGCAGCTGCTGTTTGATATTGATTCATCATAGCATTGGCAGCATCTAATAAAAGCTGAACTCTTTGCAAGGTTTGTATTCTAGCTTCAACAGCTTGTCGCAAATTACCTTCCATTTGTCTAAGTTCTTCTTCGCTTAATTCTGTAAGATTTGGTGGTGGCGTAGGAATAGGAGGTAATGGTACCATAGTTGGAAATGGAGGAGGAAATAATGGTACACTATTAGCTGCCAAATTTTGGAATGATGATGAAGGAATATTTGATCCATTGTTTTGATTTTGTTGTTGCTGAGTTGTTGCATCTGAAGTTTGTTGCTGCTGTTGCTGTTGTTGTTGCTGTAGAGGAGGTGGTGCTCCTGGAGCTTGCATTCCAGCCCAAAATGCTGGGAGTACTTGAACTTTCCATCAAGTTAATAAAATATAATATTAGTTTTTTTTTTTCAATATTAACATATAAAAATAAACATACCAATTGGATTAAATCCTGCTGCTTGTGGAACTTGAGGCACTTGAGGTCCTGCCTGTGCCTGATTTTGTTGTCTATTTCCTTGATTAATATTAACAGGTCTTAAAATGTTTAAGCGGCATGTGGGACATGTTTGTTGACGTTGAAACCAAGAACGAAGACAGGCAGTATGAAAAATATGATTGCATGGTAGCTTTTTACTTGCTGCTACCATTTCTTCTCTAAAATAGTATACATTTTTAATATTATATAAACATTCATGCATATATAAAAATTTCATTTCTGATTAATTAATACTGATTAATTAATTCATATAAAAATTTTTACCTGCATATAATACACACATTATCAGCAGCAGCTAATTCTTCTGCTGTTGCATCTGGATACAATGTATTCATATTTCTGATAGCTCGACGTGACATTACAATATCATGGAAAGCTTTTTTAAAATCTCTCATTGTATAATACATTGCACGAAGTGCAAACAAAGGTAAAGTATATAATTTCACCATCAAAGTAACAAAGGCAACATATAAAATAACCTAATATTAATATATTATATTAAATTCAATAATGAAATTCAATAATTTTATAAATATTTGAAAAGTAATATTATTAATTTATTTCACCTTTAATAATCCAATTATCAATTCTGTATACAAAAGAAATACTGGTTTATTGTCCCATGGATTTTCACTTTGTAGATCTATTGTATGCAATATATACTTCACACTAATATTGAATACAATAGTTAAAAGAATAGCATACTCAAAACCAAAGACAAGTTGTACTGAAGGACCTTTTGTAGCTGTTGTATTATATGCATAATGAATCATAGTTAAATTTATAACAAATAATAGAACTAATAGAGTACCAACTCTAAGATGGAATAACCAAGTTATTATAGGACTTCTTTCCATCTAAAAATTAATAAAATATTTTATATTTTGATATTATTTATTAAGTTATTCATATTACTTACATAATCTACACGATCTTCTGCCAACCAATGAAATGATTTCAGAAATAAAAGAAGAGTAAATAGTGCTATGAATTTTGGACTAAAGTCATCTCTAAACACTGTAAATGCTAAACAAGTTTCAGTTACTGCATACCATACTTTTTCCAACAAATGCTATAAATAAATAGTTCTTCATATATATCTATATATTTTTAAAATTTTCTTAATTATATCAAATATATTGTTTATTTACCTCAAGTTCAGCAGCACGTAAAGTACCAAAAAATATCTTTCGCAAGAAAGCATTTATCATAAATACTAGAATTAAACCTTGAGTATAGATAACCTAAATTTCATACAATTAAACAAATGAAAAAACTTTTGAAATATTTAGAAAAAATCAATTATAATATAATTAAAGTATAATTTAAACAGAAAATTTAAAAAAGATAATATTAAAATTTACCGTCATACTAGGATTAGATTTGGTTATGTGAACTACTGTTGGATAGAACTGTTTTCTTTGATAATAAGCGTTGCCTATCACAGCACATGTTAATGCTGTGCTTATTAACATTATTCCAGCCTCTCTCATTTTTGCACGGACTATTTCAGCCCAAAGGCTGTTCTTTTTAAATATAAGTAAAATTCACTGACACTTATTTCACCAACAATTTACGTATAAACAGCTGTAGATCCAACTAGAATCAACGAGGCGCTGCTATCATAACGACAACTACCATATCCAAAACTATATATATTTGTAATTTTAATATTTTATATCATAAAATAATTATTAAATATTATTATTTTGTATCATATCTTATTATCTAAATACTGGAGAAAATTTTATTTCACAATGAATAAAGAACTTTCGTGTCATAGTTATATTGTTTATGTATAATGAACGTGTATTATTTTTACTTGACAGTTCTAAATGAGACGGTAAAGTCTGATTGGTGCAATGATGAATAAATATGCTAAAATTAAATTATTTAAATCACGTGGAATGATAAATTTAATTTAATTTTTATTTTTTTATTTTATAATTTTATATATATATATTTTTTAAATATATTTTTTCAAATAATATTTCAATAATAATATATATATTAA